ATAAAGCACTCAAAACCCTTAACACCCCCAAAAAAACAAATAACCCAATCAATAAATGGGCCAAGGAACTAAACAGACACTGCTTAGAAGAGGATATACAATCATCAACAAACATATGAAAAAAATGTCAACATCTCTAGCAATTAGAGAAATGCAAATCAAAAGTACTCAAGATTTCATCTCACTACAATCAGAATGGCAGCTGTCAAGAATACAAACAACATGTGTTGGTGAGGATGTGGGAAAAAAGGCACACTCATACATTGCTGGTGGACTGCAAATTGATGCAGCCAATCTGGAAATCAGCATGGAGATTCCTTGGAAAACTTGGAATGGAACCACCATTTGACCCAGATATCCCATTCCTCGGTTTATACCCAAAGGACTTAAAAACAGCATACTACAGGGACACAGTCACATCAGTGTTTATAGCAGCACAATTCACAATAGCTAAACTGTGGAACCAACATAGAGGCCCCTCAGTAGATGAATGGATAAGGAAACTTTGATATATATACACAATGGAATATTACTCAGATTAAAAGATAATAAAATCATGGCATTTGCAGGTAAATGGATGGAGTTGGAGAATATAATGCTAAGTGAAGTAAGCCAATCCCATAAAAACCAAAGGCCAAATGTTTTCTTTGATATGAGGATGCTGACTCATAAGGGCAATGAGGGGGTGGCATGGGAGGAATGGAGGAATTTTAGATAGGGCAAAGAGGAGAGAGGGCCTAGAGAGGGGGCATGGGGGTAAGAAAGCTGGTATAATGAGTTAGAAATCATTACCCAACGTACATGTATGAAGACGCGAATGGTGTGAAAATACTTTGTGTACAAACAGTGACTTGCCAAATTGTGCTCTGTATGTGTAATATGAAACGAATTGCATTCTGCCATCATGTATAACAAATTAGAATAAAAAAATAATTTAATTTTAAGAAAAGCTCAAGTAGAAAAGCAGTCCCATTCATATTATGATAGTGTACAAAACTGTAAATAAAATGTGTACAGTGAATTGTCTTAAAAAAAAAAAAAGAATATGTGAGAAATGCAATGATTTTAAAAAACTCAAAAAGACGAAGAGGCAGGGCTTGGTGGTCCATACCTGTACTCCCAGTGACTAAGGAGACTGAGGCAGGAGGATTATAAGTTCAAGGTTGGCCTGGGCAATTCAGTGAAAACCTATTAAAATTGTGTGTACGTGTGCGTGTATATATACATATAGGTATATATATATATATATATATATATATATATATACATACATACATATATAAACCTATATACCTATATGTATGTATATATACACATGTATATATACATTTTATATACATACATATTATATATAGAAATGTCTAGGGATGTAGCTCAGTTGTAGAGCACCCCTGGTTCAATCTCCATACTGTGAAAAAAGACAAAGAAAGAGATACGGCAGGGCATAAGGGAGGACAAAGTAGGCACCTATTAGAGGAAGGGAGAAAGGAAGAGTACAGAAAAATGTGCAAGAGGAAGTGATAATCTGAAAAGCTTCTTCAAGAAGTCAAGGATGAACATTCCAGGCAGGGAACCCAGAACATGCAAAGGCCCAGAAGAATGAGACAGCCCAACATTCTGGTCAGTTTACAGGTAGTGCCAGATCTCTGACTGCCCAGGAGTGCAGTTGTTGATTTTTATTTTAAGTGCTTTTTATTTGTGTGGTACTGGGGATCCAGCCCAGAGTCTTGGGCATGCTAGGCAAGCACTCTACCTCTGAGCTATTCCCCCAAACCACGTTTGTATTTTTAGATCAACTACTCTGACAGAAGAATGGAGGTGCAGACAGACTGTAGAGAGAGCACAGATGAAACTGGTACAGTGATAGAGATTAAAAAGTATATATACTATGAGATGCTGAAGGTGGTGAAGATTGGAGGGGAATAAACAATTTCAACTGATATTTTTAAATGGTGAAAGAAGCCGGGGTGACCTGTGGAACTGGATGACTGAGATGGTCTGTACAAGAGGAGAGCAGGTTTAGGTGAGATGAAGGGGAAGAATGTTACTTTGATCCTAGTCAAATTTGGAAAGCTTATGGGACACTGAAGAAGGAATAGGTCCAATAGGCAATTGGACAGATCATTCTGGAGCTTGGCAGAGAGACCTGGGCAGAGAGACCTGGGGAGTGATTGAGATTATGGAAGTAGTTGAGACTATGGGGGAGAGTTGGAAAGTATAAATGCTTTTAAAAAATGAGGAGGAAGCCCAGAAATGTGTGGCCACAAAGCTGTAGGGGCATTCTTGGATAGGAAAACTCAACATAAAAAGATATCTGGGGCTGGGGATGTAGCTCAGTGGTAGAGCACTTGCCTAGCATGTGTGAGGCACTGGGTTCAATTCTCAGCACCACCTATAAATAAGTAAAATAAAGGTCTATCAACAACTAAAAAAAATATTTAAAAAGAAAAAAAAAGATATCTGTATTTCCTGCATTCTTTGTATCTAATACACTCCAATAAAAATAGAAATAGGGTTTGCTACAAGGACAATATTCTTCTCTCATGTTTACACAGGTCCTGGTGTGATAGAAGTCTGATAAATATTTCTTGACTCTTTGTTAGTACATCCTTCCACACAGAATAATATACAAATTTAATGAAGAATAGGGTAGATCTAAATGTGCCAATAGAGAAAGTTTTCTAAGATACAATAAGTGAAAAAAGGGGGAATATATTTTAATGTTGCTTATGTATATGCACATTTAAGAATATGTATGTAATAGTTATATGAGTAACATGTAAAAATTTTTTCCATAAAGATAACACTGATGACATAGCATATCAGTTATTACACTCAAGGAATATAGCTCATTTAATCCTTCCAATTGGGCACAAATTACAGTTATGCCCCGCCCAAAAAATATTTATTTTTTAGGTGTAGTTGGACACAATACCTTTATTTTATTTATTTATTTTTATGTGGTGCTGAGGATCGAACCCAGGGCCTCACAAGTGCTAGGCGAGTACTCTACTGCTGAGCTACAAGCCCAGCCCCAAAGTTATGCATCTTTATACCTCTTGGGAAACTGAGGCACAGAGTGATAAGGATCACACAACTCATTAATGGCAGAGCTGAGAATTAAAGCCAAAAATAACTCCAAAATACTGTCTGAGAGAGGAGAATATTAACAGGAAAATGTTAACTGAGAGGCTCTAGGATAGTGAATGGTAGAAAGAGAATTTTACTTTATTTTATACTCATTTATATTCAAAATATGATTATTTTATCACGTGCATTATTACCTTAATAATATATTAAAAGTATTTTTGAGACTTGAACTTCAGGCATCTCCAGGGACCTCACAAGATGGTTTCAGTGGAGTGCCCTGGCATTAAGATGGGAAGTGAACTGGCTGGTTGAATGTTCATCTAGACAGGCTGTTTCAAAGGAAATAGAAAGGAGATATCCCCGCTTTCCATGTAATTAAATTTCAGTACTGAAAAAGGGACAGACAGCATTTAAAAGCACAGTGGCCAATTTCTGGTTTTGGTTTTTTTCAGGGACTTTTTTTCTTTTTTAAGTTTTTCTCATTTAGAAATCTCCCATTATAGATTAATGCAGACACGATTGCTTTGCAGTTTTGTTTCTTCCTTTTTTTCTTTGTTTGTGTTTTGTTTTTTGATTATAACTGAAAAAGATAAATCAATGAAAAAGGTATAACATGAGAAGTCTTATGCCCAACAACTCTGTTCTTTTTTGGGGGGTGGGTTTGCAATAAACTATGTGAATACATCTTCTTTGCATAGATTCTTTGGGGGCAAGGCTGGTTTCTGTTTGGAAGATTGGAAAGGACCAAGGAAAAAGAGGAATCCATTGTCAAACCATTGTTCACAAGTGGCATTACAGAAGTTGAGGAAGAATATCATGGCAGAGGGTGTGGCAGAGGAAAGCTGCTCATTCCATGGCTGGTGGGAAGGAGAGGGAGAAGGAAAGAGCACACAAGAGAGAGACAGCTAGGAGGCAACCACCCTGTTTTATCAATAATGCCTTGTAGCAGCTATCAGTGAGTTACTTAGTGATTTTTTTTAAACTTTTATTTATTTATTTGTATGGGTGCTGAGGATTGAACCCAGTGCCTCATGTGTGCTAGGCAAGTGCTCTTCCTCTGAGCCAAAACTACAGCCCCTACTTTGGTGATTCTTCAGGCACACACAAGCTTATATATACATACATTTTTATTTTATTTTATTTACTTATTTATTTTTACACAGGATTACTTCTTTAAACCTGTGATGTGATCACTCCATCAGCACATGAAGAACTTTCTCTCTATTGGCTTTGCTAAGGAGTCTCCTGGCTTGAATAAATGTTTTGCCTTTGCTCCTCTATTTTTAGAGTTCTTTCTAGACATCAACTTACTAGCAACTAACAAATTTCTAGCCTCACTCCCCTATGAGAGGAAGGAAAGGAAACCTCTCTCCTTCTCCCCTTCTCACAATGGGTGCCAGCCTTCCTTGATGGCCCTTGGGGCAGCAGTTCACACCTGTTCATTCTGCTGATTAAAAACAGGAACCTCCAGATGAATCTCTTGTCACTGGCAATTTTCATTTGTTGGGAACAGGTGTGTGGGGGTGGAAGCCCAAGTATAAATGCTCATAGTTTAATTGTAAGCACCTGTTGACAGAGCTGTGTACTGGCTGACTAGGTAGAGATAGGTATTTTCTTTATATTTATTTTTAATCCTACATTTTACATGACTCTGTGCTTGTTTTCTAGTTGCTAACTTATGAACATGCTGAAACTGCTACATTGTGAGGAGTGAGAGGGTATTAGAGAGAAGAAACGTACCACCTGCAAATTTTCATTTGCAGCTTATTCTAGAAGGGGCAGACGCTGTCTTTAATGGAAAATCATTATGGTTTAGCAACCATCACTTGTGTAGTGGGGTGACTCAGGAGATGGTATTATATTGTTTTCATGAAAGTATTGATGCTCCCCATCTGCTTCTTTTGAACAAGTGCCTCCTCCCTGAGTTTGGTGGTCTGCTTCTGGAGTGGTCAGTTCTTCTGCTGACATGCCCACCCAGCTGGAGATGGCCATGGACACCATGATTAGAATCTTCCACCGGTACTCCTGCAAGGAAGGGGACAGATTCAAGCTCAACAAGGGGGAACTGAAGCTGCTTTTGCAGCGAGAGCTCACAGAATTCCTCTCGGTGAGTCACAGTTTTTCTGCCACATTTTGCTGAGGGTGGATGAGGTATGAGTTCAGGGACAGCCTTTAGGTATAAACTGTCCTATGATTCTGATGCAAACATTGTAATTTGTATTGAGATTCAAGATGTATGGGAAACAAACACTAGAGACATTTTTTCCTGTGTATCCTGGTGTGTTCCCTTTTCCATACTGCCTGGGGTGAGGGCTTTTAAGTGTGGACAATTATATTGAGATTTTCATCAATTATTCAACATTCTGGTGCAGCAATAAATTATATAGCTAGTTATGCCAGGGATGATAATTATTATTAGTTATAGCTACTTAAAACTAGTTATAGCTAGTTATATAGGAGCTTTTCCCAATTGTTTATAAATTAACATTGTGTTGGCCCTGAGATAAAGTCCCGAGAACCTTGTGAGGTGATGGTAAAATTTCTAGTGAATGACAAATACTTACCAGAGCTTTGTCAGCCAAGCACAAGCTAATTGGGATTGATGAAAAGGATGTGTCTGGCTGAGAAACAGATGGGTGGCAAACAGATTCACATCTCAAAATAGCCAGGAGCCCAATAATCTAAACATTAAACTTTATAGTAGAATGCGCAGGCTCCCTCTGAGTAAAACACTTTGTTCTGATGTTTATGAAATTGCCTTGAACTGATTTCCAACACAATGTACTGTTGCATATTATTTTGTCCCAACCCGGTATTAAGATCACAGATAGTAATTATAACACATTTTTCTCCCTGTCCTCTATGGCAAAAGCTTAAAGTAAAACAATTTCAAGGGCTGGGGTTGTGGCTCCGCCGTAGTGTACATTCGAGGCCCTGGGTTCAATCCTCAGCACCACATAAAAATAAATAAATAAAGGTATCGAATACATCTACAACTAAAAAAATAAAAATATTTAAAAAAAACAATTTCAACATAGTAATCCTTTGAAATCTCTTTTTAGTAATTTTAGGAGTCTATAGGAACTGTCTTTCTCTCAATTTCATTTCGGCTACTGTATTGTTTGGAATAAAAAATTCAATTGGTCAAACCTGACACATTGCTCTATTCAAGTGAAATTTATAATTGTTTTGATGAAGTTGATTTTGATCAATTATACTCAAAGCTCCAATTATTTAATGGTTATCAGGTAATGAGGGATTCTTGGAGGAAATTAACTGCTTTTAGAAATATTTCTCATCACCCACTAATCATAGGAGAGGCAGGTTTTCCCGGTCTCACCCCTCATGATCTTGATCTCTTAGGTGAGTTTCCTGCTTTTCTTTCTGCCTATAAAATGCAGCCATTCTTATAATTTCTACCCTTGATGGATGCCTCTTTTTTGTGTGTCAGACATTTTGCTTAGTGAGACTCCCAAATGGAATAGTTTATATCCCATGAAATACTTGGGACATATTCATATTAAAAATTTACCTGTTGTTTATCTAAAATTCAAATTTAACTGGATGTCCTATAATTTTGTTGGGTAAATAGAGTGATCTTGCTGCTAAGCACTTTCAAAAGTGTATTGAAGTATCCCCAAAATGCAGGTAGATAACTCTCCCCATTTTATAAACAAGAAAATCTTAAAATGTTAAATGATTCCTCAAAATCCTATTTTCAGTAAGTGGTACAGCCCCTCACTGTCCCTTTTGATTTTAAAGCTACTGTTTCCAAGTTACCTATATCCCAGTGTCCTGACTTGTGGGTGTCCTGTAAATGTGTTTGTAACATCAGTATCTCCCTTGATCAGTCACTGTTTGCTCTTCTTGATCATCAGGTCTGAGTCTGCATTATATAGATCTGGAACAAAAACTGCCTTATTTAGAATGTGTGCCTGGCTCAAATTTTCTTGCAAACAAGCTCTTGGGATTTGTCTTTAGCTACTAAAAATGGATTTTTAAAACTTTAAATATAAATAAAATGAAGATGTAATTTCAATCGTCATCATGAATCTCAAAGCCTGGGAGTTAGAAATTTTCTTTTTTTCTTTTTAGTGCCAAAAGGATCCCCAGTTGGTTGATAAGATAATGCAGGACCTGGATGCCAATAAGGACAATGAAGTGGATTTTAATGAATTCGTGGTCATGGTGGCAGCTCTTACAGTTGCCTGTAATGATTACTTTGTAGAACAACTGAAGAAGAAAGGAAAATAAAGTAGTAAGCTAAACTAAAGGCAGAAATACATCCAAAGTTATTTAGTTATGGTTTATGTATATCCTTTAGCTCTACAGACACAGTGATATCACCTATGGTTATAATATGCATATAAAATTGCTAGCAATATTAAGTGTGTACTTTAATATACTGACTTTACATAGATATTCCAAAACTTATATTCCCTACTTGAAATTTTCCTATATTATTTAAGATGTTTTATGTATTTATTTGTCTGTCAAAAAGAGAACATTAGGGCTGGGGATATAGCTCAGAGGGTAGAGTGCTTGCCTTGCATGCACAAGGCCCTGGGTTTGATCCCGAGGACCAAAAAAAAAAAAAAAAAAAGAGAGAGAGAGAGAGAGAGAGAGAGAGAGAGAGAGAGACAGAACATCAAGGGGCTGGAGTTGTAGCTCAGTGGTAGCACACTTGCTTAGCATGTGTGAGGCACTGGGTTCAATTCTCAGCACTGCATATAAATAAATAAAATAAAGGTACAACTAACAAATCTACACACACACACACATACATACATTATATATATATTTTAAATTTATATATATAATTTTTAAAAAGAACATCAAAAGAAAATTTAATTACTTTCAAATGGGACTAGAACTTGGCAAATTTCTAAGTTAATCTCATCTTTTAAGTGTATTAGAGAAATTCCCACTCAATTAAAATAATCACCTTGTTCTCCCCACACTTTTGTGATTCTGTGTCTAGTGGAAGAAGCTGTGAGGATCTATAAGTAGGGAATTGCTGGCCTTTGCATGAGTCAGGTTAGGGAATGAATAAACTAGAGGGCTGGGTGATCAAGCCAAAAGAACTGGAGTCAGCATCTCTTGGGACTTGGTGTATAAACACTTCACCTTGCCTCCTGGGCTGGCTAATTCCGAGATAAGTGTTTTACATCATTTCCTAGTGCTTCCCCCTGGGATTAGGCTTCAGTAGGCCCTAGGAGGTCACCTTCTTTCCTTGTCTCATTACACTTCCCAAACCCATGTTTCTTGCATCTCTCAAATAAATGTTTGCATGAAAACCTTCACCTCAGTTTCTGCTTCTGGGGAACTCAAACTATAACAGATCCTTTTGGACAATTTTAATAAAAAGAGTGGTGTGGTTAACATTTATACTTCTAAATGATTTTCCTAGATACTGGGTGAAGACTACAGAGAGGGCAATCTGTAGAGGATAGAGACCTTTGAGAAGGCTGTTGCTATCTTCTGGGGGAAATGCTGGTGTCTCTAGCAAGGATTCTGGCAAAGGAAATGAACAGAAGCAGTTGAATGTGTTTTAGAGGAGGGACTGATAGGATTTGCTAACGGATACACAGTGCAGGATAACAGAGCAGCCCCTGCTATTTGCCTATCTGATATCTGTTCTATCTTTTTTCCACACAGCAGAACCCTGATTTGTGCAGGGTGGCAACATGCCCAGCTAAAATTCTTTATTTTCCAGCCTTTTGTAATGTTGGGGTGGGCCTTGTAATTCATTTCTGCACAATGAGAGATAAACAGAAGTCTGCTAGGAAATTCCTGTAATGTTTTGTTATTTCCATTATAGGCTCTATTTCTTCCACTTTATTAATATCTTTCTTTCTTTTCAACTGGAATGTTGATATGAGGCTGGAAGTGGGGCTGCCACCTTGCAACCATGAGGAAAGTGGAGAAGAAAGGCAGAAGTCTGGGACATCATTGTCATTGAGAAGGCACCATACAGACCTGATTGTCTGCCTCTGATCTCATTATGTTAAAAACATGACTGCCTTCTGGATTCTGTTGCATGCAGTAAAACACAATCTCTAATGATTACATTTTGGGCCAAGCAAATAATGTAAATTACTAAATGGGAAGTAGGGAGGAACAGATTTGCTATGAGGGCATGAGGTTGGGTAGGGGAGTCAATAGCTCTATTTGAGATGCTATTGGATATCCAAGGGGAGATATGAAACAGCAAGTTGCATATATGATATAGTCTAGAGCTGAGGGTAAAAAGGAACTTGGAAATACAGAGTTGATAGTTAAATATTAGCATCTACATGGTCTTAAGCTCTAGGATTAGAGGAGATCACTTTAGATGAGCATATACATAGTGAAGAAGAAAATTTCAATAGCTTGATTGGGAAAGGAGGAGCCAGCAAATGATCCAGCAAAGGCATGGAAATAGAAGAAAAACCAGGACTAAATGGTACTTTGGAAGCCTGGAGAAGAGAAAGTATTTGGAAAAGAAAAGAGGGTGAAATCCGCTGAGAGGAGAAGGAAGATGAGAAGGAAGACTTGACCACTAGATCCCACGAGGTATAGATCACCATGATTCAGTGATGATGGTAGGAGACTGATTCTGTTTACAAAAAAAGGCCCATCTCCCTACTTGGTAGGTATTAGATGCTCAATAAATATTTATGTCATGAACAAAAGAAGGAACTTATAAATTTTATGACTTTCTAGGGATAAGACCCATTGATTTTTCTCTTACCTAGAATAATATTTTTTTTTAACCTGCCTCCTGGGCAGATAGTTCAGGGAGAATTTAGAGAAAGAGCATGCAAGAGAAAGTATACCCTTACTTTTACTACTTGTGTGTCTTGAAAGAATGGAAGAAATTACAAGAAGGAAAAAAACTGAACATGTATTTTGGATGTATTTAGGCTTTTCTTACAAGTTGATGCATAGATCATGCAAGAGAGGGGCTGAATTGTTTTTCTTTTCTTTTTTTTTTTTGGCACTGGGGATTGAACCCAGGGGTACATAACCATTGAGCAACATCCCCAGCATTTTTTTTTTTTTTTTTGAGATAGGTGCTTACCAAGTTGCTTAAGGCCTTGCTAAGTTGCTGAGGCTGGCTTTGAATTTGTGATCCTCCTGCCTCAGCCTCTGAGTCACTGGAATTACAGATGTGTGAGGCCATGCCCAGCAAGGGTCTGAATGTTAATCAGGGGCTTTTAAACTTTATATTTTAATTTGGTCCAAGGTTTACATATTCTGAAATTGATCACCAAAATATGAAAAGTGAAACCGTAATTTCGTTCATGTTTCTAGGAATGACATTATCAATAGAGAGGAATAAGTGGGAAAACAACGCATATTTCATGGTGTTCCTAAAAATTGATCAAATGTGTGAAAAAAATTTACGTCTCAAATTAGATTTCAAAAGAGTGAGAATTATATGATGTACCAAAAGTCCTTCTCTAGTAAAGGAAAGCCTTTCTTGTTTATTAGATATACATAATAATTTTGTAGGAGGCAAAATTGTTTATGTCCTGGAGAACTGGCCTTTGCATTTACTGGAGTTTAAATAAACTTGAAGTTTAAACAGCATTCAAGGACTATGTCTGAGTGAACATATTTTAATGTTTGTGTGTGTGTGTGTGTGTGTGTTTACTGGGGGGTTGAACCCAGGGACTTGTGTAAGCACTAGAGCACTTAACTTATCTCCAGCCCCTTTTTAATTTTATTTTGAGACAAGATCTCACTGCACTGCCCAGGCTAGCTCAAGTTTGAGATCCTCCTGTCCCAATTTCTGAAGTAGCTGGTATTGCAGGCATGTACCAATGCAACTGTCCAGATTTATCTTTTTCTGGTTAGATAGAGCAGTTTATAGGAGACAATAGCCTAAATCTTCCTGGGGCTCTGGTTTGAAACAATGCTATTAGCTAGAATGCTAAAACAAAACAATACCTTAATTTTAAATTTAAAATAGACATTTTTTTTTTCTCAAGATGATGGTAGGAGATGGTAGGGCAAGGAATACTTTCTAGAAGCAGAAAGTTGAGTGAATTCTTTGATAAGACAAAGAAATGGGGAGAGGTTATTAAAGAAAGAGAACATGGGCAAAGTTGTGCAGGTATGGAACACCACGATCTGCTTGGGAGAATGTAAGTTCTGTTTGGGGTAGTCTAGGGTGTGGGGTGTGGGAGGGCAGGAGATAGGGCTGGAGAGGTAGATAGGACTCAGAATCAGAAAAGATCATAGGTGCCAAATATGAGAAATTTGAAATTTATCCTATATATTATGGAAAACCATGATAGGATTTTGCACAATTTGTTCTTTGTACCTAAAGCAGTTTTATGTTTATGTTTTTAAATATCCTCCTAAAATGTTTAAATCTTTAGACTAACAGTTTTGAATGCTTATTTCACATTACATTCAACCACAGCACTTTTAAAAATACAGATGAATAAGCCCCAACCTCATAAAGGTTCTGATTTAATTAGTCTGGGGATGAGGCCCAGGCATCAGCATTTTTAGAGAGCATCAAATGATTCTAAATGCAACCAGGGTTGAAAATCACTTATTTTATGGTGAATTACTTCAATCAAGTAATCAGATCAACATCTGACTGAGAACTGTCTAGGACAGCAGGTGCTCCATCTTTAATGTGCATATGAATCACCTGGAGATTTGATTCTGCCTTGCAAGTTCTGGGTGGGGCCTAATATTCTGCAGTTCCAACAAATTCCCAGGTGATGTGGATGATGCTAGCAAATATGGTCTAGAACCTTGGATGAAGAGGAAAGGGTTTGAATGGCAGTATGGAGGAGTAGTTTGGGAACACAGGCACCTGTAGAATAGTTCTTGCTGGGTCATATTCCCTTTGGAAAAAAATAAGACAGGCCTGGGGTTGTAGCTCAGTGGTGGAGTGATTGCCTCTCAGTATGAGGCACTGGGTTGGATCCTCAGCACCACATAAAAAAATAAATAAACAAAATAAAGATATTGTGTCCAACTATAACAAAAAATATTTTAAAAAATAAGATGACACAAGGACATTAGGGACAGAAATGTCCAAGGAGAAGGGAAAGGGATGGGAGAAACCAGGGAGAAGCTTACCTAAGATCCTGAGTAAGAGGGAGAAGGAGTGAGTGAATGACACAGGACTGCTTCAGGCTAAAGATCTTGGCCAAGTTATTTTATCTTCTTTAAGCCTCATTTTCCTGGGGTATTTCAACTACAGTGACTCACCTGTATCAGAATCAATTAGGGACACTTACTAAATACTGGAACCTCTAGGCTTGACCTCATGCCAAATGAATCAGAATGGAGGAAGAGGAAGGACAAGAATGTGAATGATAGCAAGCACTCTCAGTGATTATTATGCACCCTACATTGGAAAAATACAACTCTGATGGTTAAGTAAGATAACAAGTGACTTGATAAGTAGTAACCATGGTAATGAAGATGGTGGTAATGGTCCAATCTAGATTCCACAGCACATGGATTTTATTCATCCTACTGTCTCAAGTTAGTCTCAACCAGAGATGTCTACCAACTACCTTCCAGAGGAAAATTGGGCACTCTTAAATGGCTCCTTTCCCCTGATTTCTCCAGTTTTCTCAAAGGATTCTCTTCCAAGAAGTGAAACACTGTTTAATCACTAAACAACATGATTTCAAAGATTATTTACTATCATGTAAAGTATCCACTATATAATATCAACATTAAACAATAGGACATTCAATATAGTCTCTGTTTTAGTTAGCTTTTTTTTAACTGCTGGGACCAAAAGATTTGTCAAGAACAACTTTAGAGGAAGAAAAGTTTATTTGGGGCTCATGGTTTCAGAGGTCTCAGTCCATAGATGGCTGACTCCATTGCTCTAGGCCTGAGAAGAGGCAGACATCATGGCAGAAGGGTGTGGCAGAAGAAAATAGCTCAGGACTTGGCAATCATCAAGCAGAGAAATGGCTCTGCTCCAGGGACAAAACATACTCCCAAAGGCACACCTCCAGTGATCCACTTCCTCTAGCCCTACCTGCCTACAGTTACCACCCAGTTAATCCATTCAAATGGATTAACATACAGATTAGGTTAAGGCTCTCATAACCTAATAACTTCACCTCTAAACTTTCTTTCATCAAACAGACATATTTCTCAAAAGAAGAAATACAAATGGTTAATGAGTATGTGAAAAAAGTATTGAACATCTTTAGCAATCAAGGCTATGCAAAGTAAAACTAGAGTGAGATTTCATCTCATTCCAGTTAGCATGGCAATCATCAAGAACACAAATAAAAATAAATGCTGGTGAGGATGTGAGGGAAAGGGAACAGTTAAATACCTTTGGTGAGACTGAAAATTAGTACAACCACTATGAAAATCAGGAGAAACAGAACTTTGGAGACAGA